CGTAAAAAAAAAATACATTTTTTTTTTCGAGCTTGCGCCGTGCTTCTGCTACTAATTTCTCCGTAGCGCGTAGCTATACAGCACTACTTTGTGACCCAGGATATGCTATTGTTGGCATTAAATCTATATATTTTTGGAATTATTTTGTAATTCTAAATCTACAAGAGTATTTTCTAATATACTTACTGCCGGTAATATAAATAAGAAATGAGAAAAGTATAAAGCAGTACTTAACTGTCCTATTTCTATAAACGGACTTTCTACATGTTTAGCTCCTAATTGCATTAACATTAAGAAATTAACTAAGAATACGTAGAAGGCTGCCTTGCTTAAAGGTCTAAATTGTAAACCTTTAGTTAAACCTAGGTCAGTTTTAGGTAATATTAAAATAATTAATATTGCCGCTAACATTGCGATAACTCCTAATAATTTATTAGGAATAGATCTTAAAATAGCATAGAAAGGTAATAAATATCATTCAGGTACTATGGCAGGCGGAGTTTGCATAGGGTTAGCCATTATATAATTATCACTATCACCTAAAACATTAGGCATAAAGAATACAAATATTCCTAAAACAAATATAAAGATAAATATAGTAATTAAATCTTTAAATAAGAAATAAGGAGCCATAGGCATTCTATCATAATATACTGGAACTCCTAAAGGATTACTTGATCCAGCTGTATCATGTAAAGCTATCATATGCATTAAAACTAATGCAGCTAATATGAAAGGTAATACAAAATGTAAAGCAAAGAATCTGTTTAAAGTAGCGTTATTTACGCTAAAACCTCCTCAAATGAACTCAACTATATCTTGTCCAATTCATGGAACAGCACTAATTAAATTAGTAATAACTGTAGCACCTCATAATGACATTTGTCCATAAGGTAAAACATACTAGCTTACTTATTAAATAAGTAAGCCCAATTTTATTTATTCAGCAGGGCGTGCTTCGCCTATCTACTCACAGGAAGGCGCAAGCTTTTTTTTTTAAGACTATAATATATATTATAGAGTTCGGCGCAAGCTCGTAGTGTAAATTATCTATTTCAGTGCGGAGCTCTTATAAAAAAAATAGATTTTTAGGCGCGAACGAAGTTTCCTCCTGCTTGCGCTTATATAAATTTTCCGAGCTTGCGCCCCCTACGGGGGCGAAGCTCCAGCAAGTTTTAGTTAAAATCTATCTACTTACACGTATAGGCCCTTTTCTAAACTCATGCTCCATCACAGCACGTAGGATATTACTATCCGCATGTGCCATATACGTAGGATCAGTAACTACTCAATTACCGGGCCCAAAAGGACGCCGTTTCATATCTACTATCTCCATAGTATATGAAAGTATAAAGTATCTTTCTCGCGTATATCAATAACTTGGTAATACTTCTGATCCTATAATGTTGTACCCCAAAGGAGATAAATATCCAGGAGATGTGGTTTCGAAATTTTTCAGGCTATATTCCGGACAACCTCGTTCCCTAGCATAGTGATTTTCAATAATTTGCCATAAAATTATTCTGGATAAAGTAAAGCTCTCAGCATTATCCGCCAAGAAAAGCCTAATATCAGAATTAGGGTTAAGAAGAAGATGTAGTAGTGTATTACTTGTATTAACCATAAATATTAAAGAGATAATTAGAAGAGCCAAGACTATATCCAAATTATATGATTCTAAGAAGGCGAACCACCCTTCGATATTTTTTTTAGATATTATATCTAAAAAGCTCCCCGCTAGACCTATAGTTGCCAGTCCTGCTCCAATAAGTTTTGACGATTCTAACATCCTAAGAATTTTATACCTACAGTTACATTCGTATGTATTGATATAAATAGTATATTGTACTTAGTTTACTTTTAAATAAACTAACGCCCTAATAGGCCGGACTACTAAGAATCCAGCCTAGCTAGGGTATGCATAGTTAGAAATTATTTTTTAGCACAGCTACTAATTTCACAAATTAATTCACTAAGGCTAACGGGGTGGAGGTTAGTATATGTAATAGTTTAACAAGTGTGCGTGGTGGTATTTATACCTAGCGAAGCACATACATATAATTTATGTATGCGCGTACTATTTTCAGTGCTCCGCCATGAGCACTGAAGGCGAAGCTCCAGCAAGCTCGTACCCACAAATAGAATTCTTGTTCTTGGAGTGTGCAGCACTACTAAATAAATAAAATTGATTTGGCCTATAATAAGATAGAATAACTTTGAATTCGTATATTCTATTAGTAGTACTTTGTAGCTAATTTCGAATTAGCGCTACTATAAGCTTCGACTGTGCATTAAGCAGCATTTCAGCCACCCACCAGTGACCCAGTCTGTCGCGATTATATGGATAACCGACGATCTCTTATATTAAAATATACTTTGATCGTTTTCACTAGTATTGCCAAAGAAACGATTTGGTTTCTTCAATAACCTTGTCAGGTTATTCTGCTTTAAGTTTTATTTCTTTCCATAAATTGCATAAAACTATATACTTGCAGGACTACAACTATAATAATAATTTAGAGCTTGCGCCTTATTTAACATAATCAACTATTCAACGTCCTTTTAATGTTTTGCTAGGAGTTTTTAATGTTCTTTGTATAGTTTTAGTAGAACAATTTAAAGCCTCTCCTGCTTCAACTATACTATTATATTTACCGTATACAACACTATTTAATTCTTTTACTATAATAGATTTAGAATTCTTTTTCATATTTAAACCACCTTGTTCTGTATAATTTAAAGGTTTTCTATTTAAAGCTGATTGTCTCATAGCCTCAATAGTTTGATTGGATAAAGTTTTACCTTTATTTAAACTGCCTATTTGTTCTCTACGTTTTTCACTATAATTAGCTTTCATCTTTATTCTACTAACTTCAGTATGTTTATACCCGAAGCTAGATCCTGCTTCGGTCAATATATTATAGTCAGGTAAAAGAGATTTTATATAAAAATCTTCTAAATCTAATAATTCTTTATTATTTTCTTGATTAACTACTTCAGGAAATAGTTCTAATACAATAAAGGTAAAATTATGTAAACCATATTTATTAACTGAATTTTTAACTATTTTACTACCATTTAAATATATTAAATGTTTTGAAAATCTAGAGTTAATTCTATCTGTAGAAGCTGATCCTATATAATAACTTAAAGTTTCTTTATTTAATATCATATAAATACCACTAAGCCCTTTAGTCTCTTTAGTTATATTTCTACGGACTGAATCTTCATTTAGATTATCATAGATAAAAACAGGATTAAGATTTTTTGCTAATAAAAAGTTATTTATAGGCGAGCTAGCCCCCTCTTCATTATTTTTCGACGTTGAATAATATCTTTTATTCTTAAATAGAGGCGCTTTCCTCGTAGTTGTTATTTTATTATTATAGTCGTTTTGGGCTATTATAAGGTAACCCAGGAATCCTGTAACTATCATAACGATAAGGATTATTGTACCTATAACTCATGTCAATGTTCTTGGTGCTCTATAAGATGCGTAGTATATACCTCTTCCTATGTGTAAGTACACTAAAAAGAAGAAAGCTGATGCTGTGTTACTATGTAAGTAACGTACTAATCATCCATTGTTTACATCACGCATAATATGTTCTACAGAATTAAATGCTTCTAATACTGAAGGATTATAGTGCATAGCTAAAGTAACTCCAGTTACAATTTGTATAACTAAACAAAGTAATAATAAAGATCCGAAATTTCATAAGTAACTTATATTACTAGGTTGTGAAGCGTCTATTAAATAACCATTGGCTAATTTTAATAAAGGGTGATTTTTTAATATTCTCATAATAATTATAAATTATATATATATTGTATATAAATATATTTTTATAGCGAGGGACGGCGCCAGCTATTCTTTGAACCAGAAGCCGTCCCCGCTCTATAGGAATAGCTAGCTGAAGTATTCACAGAAACAGCGATACGCAAACTAAAGCTAAAGCTTATAAATTTTGTATATATTTATTTATTTTAAAAAAAAGTAACCTTTGATAGCTCACAGTAAGACAAGTGTTTTACTGTAAACAACAAGAGGTATACATTAAACTGTATAATTTACAAAACTATTCATAGGGAGCTTAGCTTTAGACTAGACGAGCGCTAGGGAGGTGCGAGCTAGCCCGAAAAAAAAAATGTATTTTAGCCAGTGCGTGCTTAGCCGGCTGAAGCACTGCCCTTGGAGCGAGCTTGCGCCGGTCCGCAAGCTCTTCGTACCTCGCACTGCACTTACCCTTGTAAGCTACTCTCTCCCGCGGAGCAGAAATTAGTAGTAGCTAGCTATAATCTCACTACTAATTCTAATTCGAGGAGAAGGAGACTTCGTCCGCGGCTAGCTTCGCCTTCGGCATAAGAGCAGCTTGCCCACCCTTTGTGCGAAGAGGGGGTTTCCTTTCGTCCGGGCTAAGCGAAGGACGATCCTCGTACGATCCTCGTCCGAGGATGGCTAAGCGAACGAGAATCCTACTCCGGTTACGTTGTCTTATCTAGCCACGTCGCTAAATGAAGGCGCAGGGCGCAAGCTCGAGCTTGCGGGAGCTTCGACCCCCCCCCCCCAGGGTATACGGGTGCTCGATAATAATAGGGCGCGGACGAGCTTGCGGGAGCTTGCGTCCTGGATATTTTTAGCCTACCTATTCATGCAGCGCGGCGTATAAAAAAAATATATTTTTTTTAGGCTGGCGAAGCACTGCACATCTGCCCACCCGGAAATTTACCTCCGCACGATCTTAGATATTTTCGGGTACGTAGTATGTTTTACACCGAGCGGGTAAACGGAGGCTTTGCTCCGCCGCTTCGTAGCTTCGAATGGGTGATTACAAATCAAATCATTAAATGTACACCTTCTGGAGTCTTCCACCTAGGATTTTACAAGTATATAAAGTCTTGGGAGCTCCCCCGAGAGAGATCTTATGCTAGATAGTATCTCTCTACCACTTGTACGAAAACTTTGTGCAGCGAAGTAAACCTCAACCACTATTATCAACATGGACGACACCTCTTCTACCCAGACTTCTTCTACCCACAGCTCTTCTACCCAGACCGTTTCTACAACTGGTCCTGATTTCGAGGATTTTTCTTCTTTACCTTTTCCTATTTATACCCAACGACTTGTTATTCGAAGAATCGAAACTACCGACAAGGAAGCTGCTGGTCACATGATAGCTGAAGAAAATAATGCTATGATTCAGTGGGCGGGTACAACTGAACCCCCTGATGATTTGGATAGGGTTCTCGATCATTTCACTTCCGATCTCACGGACATTTTTTTGGGCATTTTTCTAAAGGATGGGGAAGAAGAATTGATTGGAATGGGAGGAATATTCACTAGTGTTGGCCAATGGTCGGAGGTGCACTATGTGCTCAAGGAAAAGCATTGGGGTCACGGATATTGTTCTGAGTTTGTAAAGGCTCTTTTGGAAATGTGGTGGAATCTGCCTCGTGATGAAAGAGAGGTCGATTGTCCCACTATGCTGTACACAGGGGATTCGGAGCAAAAAGAATTATTGATTGCGACACCTCTACCAGGAAACAGTCGGAGCAAGAAGGTTTTGGAAAAGGCAGGATTTCACTTTCGTGGTTTGCTTGATGGAAGGGAGGTATGGTCGGCAACTTCTAACAATGAGCACTAAGAAATTTATCCGGCCGTAAAAAAAAATACATTTTTTTTTTCGTGCTTCGCCTAAGTAGTGCTGCGCCATCTAAAGCTAGAACGGTATTCCTCCGGGGCGCGTCCTCCTCGTCCCACCCTAACCTCGCTAGGAAGCAAGTTAAAGCAATAGAGCCTTATTTTTTTTTTCTCATTTTAGAGTCGAACTAAAATTATGCTATCCCTTAAAGCTAATGAGATTTAGGGCTATTAACCCTTTAATATGCTACGAATGCTTGCTTGCAATACGTCGTAGCGTTAGCAAGCAAGCTAACATGCACTCCTTTATCCTAATATAGATAGTTTGCCTTTAATAAATACGCTTAATCATTGGCCGACGCGGCGAAAAAAAAAAATGTATTTTTTTTTCCGCCTTCTCTATTCTTGCAACTAGCTTTAGTTTGCTATAGCTGCGAAGCTATATAAAGCAGAGATAAGAGTAAAAAAAAAAATGTATTTTTTTTTTTCCTGCGCCAGCTAAAGCTAGCAAGTTATAAATTAGGCGCTTCGCTCGAAGAAGAACGATCATATGATTTATCCATCATAAGGATAAGCAAGCTTCCTATTGTAATAGAATTCACCACGTCATCTACTACCTGTACGAAAGTAAAAATAGATAAGTAGAAGCAAATTCCTATTAAAATATAAAGAGCGTAATTAGTAACAACTCCATTACTTAAGCTAGAAATTATTTTACTAGCTTTAGTTAAAATAACACCAAATCCATAAGGACCTACTGATTCAACACTACCTTTATCTAAAACTTTTGTAGTTTGACCTCCTATTTCTAAAACTGAATTAACAATATATTTATTATAAAAGAATTCAACTAAGAAACGTTGATTGAAGAAACCATAAATATAATATCCTAAATTAGATAATTTAAAGTTAGATATTATATTTGGCATAAATTCAGAATATATTATTGCTAATGCAGAGAAAGATACAGTAAGGATAAAAGGAATTAATTTAAATATAGTAGGTACACCAAATTCAGTATCAATCATTATTTCATGAACAGGGTGAATAAATATACTATTGTCTACAAAGAACCCTGAACCTAAACCTATGAAAATATCTCTAGTTATATATCCAAAATATATAGAGAATATAGCTAATACCACTAAAGGTAAACTGATAAATATATCACTTTCATGAGCATTTCTATAATAATTAACTGGTCCATTAGGATTAGTTAAGAAAGTTAAGTATATAACTTTAACTGAATATAATGTAGTAAATATAGCACCAATTACTGCTATAACGTATACATCTATACTACTAAAATGATATTGACCATAGGCAGATTCTAATATAAAATCTTTACTATAAAATCCTGTCATAAAAGGGAAAGCGACTAAACTAAGACTAGCTATTAATATTACAGAATAGGTTAAAGGTAGGAATGATATTAATCCCCCGTATTTTCTTAAATCTTGATTATCTACTACAGCGTGTATAACTGCTCCTGCCCCTAAGAATAATAATCCTTTATAGAAAGCATGATTTATTAAATGAAATATTGCTACATTATATGAAGATAAACCTATAGCTATTACCATCATACCTAATTGACTCATAGTAGAATATGCTATAATTTTTTTTATGTCTTGTTGGAATAATCCAATAAGAGAGCTAAACACAGTTGTAGTTGCACCTAATCATAAACATATTGCCAATACCACTGCACTATATTCAATCAAAGGGGATGAACGTATTAATAAATACACTCCTGCTGTAACCATCGTAGCTGCGTGTATTAAAGCTGACACTGGTGTAGGCAAATTAGTTGACTCGTGCTATATGTAAAACAATAATTACACTTATACGGCACAAATACTCAACAACTTACATTGTTGTTCGGACTATATCTTCAATTACATTATTTGTTTATAAGTTTAATTTTCTCTTTGATTATTATTATACCTGATTCAGTTAAATGTTTTTTATCTTTAACTAGATAGTAGACTTTTAATCATTTCAAATAAGAGAGATGTTTCTTTGATTTTAAGGGATAATCGTGTAGATAACTTAATGCTTTATTAAGTTTACCAAAATTAACTACAGTATTATAACCATCATAGCTTTTAACATATGTTACATATCCATCTATCAAACTAGCAAGGTAAGTACTAAATTCCACGTCATCTTTTTGGGATATTATGTATCTTACAGTAACTATATGTTTACCTGTATTTTTATTTAAGGATGCACTAGAAGTAAAACAACCTTCTGCATCCGTAAATCCAGATAATCATGCGTTAGATAGTGTTACTTTCTTGTCTGATTCTATATGTAAGATATTAGTAGCATATTTATGGTTAAAAGCTTCTAATCATGATTTAAACTGAGCTTTTTTAGCTTTAGTTATTAAATTACCGTTAAAGATATTTATTATTTCTAATAGATTATCCTTATTCCTTACTCTGAATTGATGAGTTTGGTTTAATTGGCTTTGTACCGTTACAGATCCAAAACCCAATTCTTTTTTAATGTAAAATAATACTTGTGCATCTACGCTGGATTGTGTTACCTTAAAGGTTAAATAACCTCTTTGATCAACACTAAATCCTCCATCTCCCTCAGCAAAACCAATTAACCATCATTTAAAATTTTCTTTATCACTTAATGTAATCGCTTCACGTGTAGTCTCTGAGGAGCCCAAATTATTAATTTGGTTTCCTGCGGATTGTCCTTCATTCTGAATTTTACCGAAGCTTACAAAGTAAACAGTGGACCAGAATATCGAAACAGGATGTTCCCGCATATAGTGAAGTTTAAGGAAAGCCCTCATGCGGAGCAAAAAACCTTCCATAGCCATAGGTAATCATATATGTAAACCTACTTGAGAACTTTTAGCCATTGCACCAATCAATAAACATATACCTATAATTGTAGTTATATTTTCATTTATATAAGGAGCTAATGAGAATACAGTACTATAATCTAGAGTTCCTAAAGTTCATAATAAGATAAACATACCTATCATTAAGAAAGCATCTCCAACTCTATTAGTTAAGAAAGCTGAAAGAGAACTTTGGTTAGCCGCTATTCTAGTGAATCAAAAACTAACTAATAGGTATGAACAAACACCTACACCCTCTCATCCTACGAACATAACTAAATAATTATTACCAGTTACTAGTATTATCATCATAAAAGTGAATAAACTTAAATAACTAAAGAATCTTTGATTGTGTGGATCATGACTCATATATCCTATTGAATAAAAATGAACTAAAGAACTGATTATTAATACAGGTATTAACATTGATACTGTTAAACTATCAAACTGAAAATTCCAGGCCATATTAAATGATTCGTTATCTAATCATTTAAATAAATTGATTGAAACAGGATTATTATTAAATCCTACTTCAAAAAAGCTAATGATAGCTAATATTGTAGTTATCATTATACTTAAACAACCTAAAATACGGCTACCTGTAACACCGACTTTTCTACCAAAAAAACCGGAAACTATAGATCCTAATAAAGGTAATATAATTATACTTAAATACATTATTTATATTCTATTGCAATACTTCCTCTTCGTTTTCCCTCTTTTCCATAGGAATTCGTATTCCCTTAGGAAGGCTGAGGTATTCTCATAATCTTTAAATTATGCCTGACTATATCTTAAGCAAATAATTATAGGGAGGAACTTCGTTCGCGCGAGGCCTTAGGCCGTCGCGCTACGCTCCCCTAGCACCTATAACTATAAACCAACCTACATTTAGTCGATGAACTGCGCACCAGTATGTGCTGCGTATTGCATACGCAGCATATAATGGTGTTTGGCTGCGGGTTATCTATTTCATTTCTTCATACAAATCGTTTTTACCATACAACGAGTCATTACCTGTTCCATTAATTACATTACTGTATTAACTTGGTAGATTTGTCTTTAAGACTTTCCCGCAATTTGAAGGTTTTGCCTTTATATAAAGACTAGATGAAGGTTCACTTCACCTTTTTAGACCTATTTTCTCTTATTACCCTAATCATTACCATGATTATTTTTAGCTTTGTTCAAACTTGTAATTTTTTGCTTTAATTGTATAACATTTTTCAGAGCTACTCCATCTTCTTTTAAGTGCTCTTTATTTTTAATTATTAAAGCCACACTTTTAAAATCTAAGAAGTTTGAGTATTTTGATCCTCTTATATTATGTTTATCAAAAAAAGGAATTATATCATTAACTATATTATCAATTTTTGTAATGATAAATTCACAAACTGAACGGTTATTATATTTAACCACATACCCACATCCAAAAAAATCTACAAAACTTTCTAGTAAAGATAAATCTCTTATATCTTGAGCTATAGAAAAACGTAATGAAATGGCTATACCACGAGCTTGCGCCTAGTTTTAGAGTTTTGAACAGAGATAAAAAAGTTTGATTCTCCTGTAGCGAATCCAGCTATTCACTCTTTGGCTGACAAGAGGGTATCATATTTCTTTTCGATTTCTTCTCTTTTTACTGCAATAGTGTTAGGAAAAGATTCTTTTAATTCATTGGATAAACCTCAATTCATTGAGCTTTTAATATTAACTATTTTTTGTATTCCTTCTAATGTACTATGTTCTTTTTCTAACATTAACTTAACAATGTCTTTGAAAAACATATAGTCGGTATATTTTTTAGTTAATAGTGGGTAATTATCAAAATGAGGAATAATTACATTGATTATATCCTTCATAGTACTAACTCTAAATTCTACCATAGAATTTTTGTTAGGATTTGATATGTATCCTATGCCTCCGAAATATTCCTGGATTTGAAGCATTAAATATCTATCTTTTTCATGCATCTTTATTTGAGTTCTAGCTTGAACATTTCACCCCGTTTTATATCTAGGGTTTTTTAATATAGTAACAACAAAAGAACTCTCAGCATCAAAAAGTCCAGTAATAAATCACGGATCGATCTTTTTAGTTATCGTAGGTGCAGATACAGTAGAATATTTTCGAGCTTG